AAACAAATGAGAGCAGTTAATACCCAAATCTCCAGGCCAATGCTCCAAGAAGGTGCTAAAATATTGCATAGGAATTCAGGGTGGCAGATTTCCAAGCACCAAGTCATTGCTCAAGAAATTTAAACGTGACTTGAGATGTCCCAGAAAGTCTCCTGTGGTAAATCCAAATCCATGACACTGCAGTAGAAGTTATGGAAAAATTAAAAAGAAGCAGGGTCTTATCTTGTTGCCTAGGCTAACATGTAGTGGTGTGATTTTAGGGTACTGTAACCTCAAATTCCTAGGCTCAAGGGATCCTTCCACCTCAGCCTCCTTAGTAGCTAAGATGACAGGTGTGTGCCACCATGCCCAGCTTTTTAAGAAGTTATGGCAGATTTCCAAGCACCAAGTCATTGCTCAAGAAATTTAAACTGTGACTTGAGATGTCCCAGAAAGTCTCCTGTGGTAAATCCAAATCCATGACAATGCAGTAGAAGTTATGAAAAAATTCATCCAAAAATTCCCAGACTTTGCAAGAAGCTTCAAAGATGACATGTTTAACGCTGACAAGTGCAGACTCTTGACTCTTTTTCAAGGTGACGCCTGACAGAAGCCTCACCATGAAGGGTGACAAATGTTAAGAGCAAGAAACTTTCCAAAGAACAGTTCACAGTTCTGCTTTGTGCAAGCTTAATCAGAAAGAAACTAAAGCCCTTGGTGACTCATAAGGCAGCAAAGCCACACTCAAATTCAAGAACCTGAACCCCAGGACCTCCCCATCACTTGGAGATCAGAAAATGCACATGGATGATGTGGGCGATATTTGAAGAGGGGGTAAGGGGTACTGAGAAATGAAGAAGAAATGGTCTATCCTACTGACAGTAAGTAACTGTCCTGGCCACCCAGAAAGGAATTATTCCAAACATGACACTGAAATTTCTACCTCCAAACAAGACCTCAAAAATACAACCTCTTGACCAAGCCATCATCAAAACATTTAAAATGCACTACCAAGCCCAGCTCTTACAGTGGGTCATCACTAAACATAGCCCTGCGGTCCACCTGCCTGTGCAAGCAACTTCATCAGTTAACACTCTGGCTGCTATCCTCTGAATCAGTTCTGCTTGGAATTAAGTTCAGCAAGAAATGATACAGAAGTGTTTCAAGAAAGCTGCATTTGTGGGTGGCACACATCTCAGTGGGTAGGGCACCGGTCACATACACTGGGGCTGGTGGGGTCAAACCTAGCCCTGCCAGGTTAACAATGACAACTGCAACGAAAAAATAGCCAGGCATTGTGGCAGGGACCTGTAGTCCCAGCTACTTGGGAGGCTGAGGCAAGAGAATTGGAGTTTGCTATAAGCTGTGACACCAGGGTACTCTACTGAGGGCAACACAGTGAGACTCTGTCTCAAAAAAAAAAAGAAAAGAAAGAAAGCTGGATTTGTCACAACCCAACAGCACGATGTCTAGGACCCAGGAGACAGTCCATCTTCCATGACAGAATTCGAGGAGTAGATTTTAAGGATTCTCTTGGGATGGATGATGAGGAGGCAGCCTGTAATGAACCTGACCCAAAAGCAATTTTCCAAGTGATATTGACTGATGTACAGACCAGCATAAAATTGCATGAAGCAGCTGATGAAGTAGAAGCAGCAAGTGAGGATGACACAGAAACTGCAGAGACCCCAAAAGAAAAGGATCTGATAACACAGTTGAAGTCAGTTGCTGTGAAAAAATGCCCTGGTGTCCTGAGTGGTGTAGCCAGAATGGAGAGTGCTTTCCCCACTTATATTTATAATAAGAATAAGAAATAGACCAAGATTGATTCCTTTTTCAGAAAGAAAGATTAAACTATGAGAAAACAGTGAATACACTACTTTTATATGATACTGTATAATTATGATTTTATATGAGATCCTCTAGTAAAAACTATACAAGAAAATACAGTACTTGTACAGATCAGTACAATAAGCCTAGTTCCTTATGTTGACCACCTCCATGTGCTGACCACCAGTCCCTTTGGTGGTCACCTTACAGAGGTTCTACTGTATACTAAAAAATGCATGCTACTTGTGCTAGGCATTACAAGGAGCGGGGAACCTGCAGCCTGAAGCAGGTCCTTAAGCATGGTCGTTTGACTGAGTCAGTCCCCACCTTTGAACCAGACATTCTCAAACCCTCAACACAACTTCGGTTTTTTGTTTTAGAAACAGAGTCTTGTTATGTTCTACAGGTCTTGAACTTCCAGGCTCAAGCAACCCTCCTCACCTCAGCTTCCCAAGTAGCTGGGATAATAGGTATAAGCCACTGCACCCAGTTTAGCACAGCATCTTTCCAAAAAAAAAAAAAAAAACTTACCCAAAACCTCAACATGTGAAAGAGATAAAGACTGATGACTCTGGCAGATCAAGTCTTCATTACTTGGCAAAAAATACTTCCAAGTTTAAAGAACCTCTGATTTACTCTGGGGTGCTAAGGTTCTGAAGAACAACGTAAAAACCAATGCACATTTTAACACAGTTAAAAACAAAAAAATCAGAAAACAATGCGTTTACAAATGGCACACAGGAACTTCATGGGTGATAAATATTCTAAAACCGAATCGTAGCAACTGTTACATAACTCTAGAAATTTGCTAAAAACCATCAAATTACATACGTACAACTTTATGGTATGTAAATTATGCCTCAATTAAAAGTTCAACAAACTTTGCTAACCACACATAGTTCTTCTACCAAACACCACTGTTATTTCTATAGGTGCCAAGTATCTACCACTGGCTTTCTACCATCAACGCACTCTCCACTGTTACTTCCACTCACAACTACACCCTCCTGCCAGAGTCGAACCCAATCTTCTCTGGCTGCTCTTGTCCCTTCAGCTGCCAGTTCCACCTGCCACTCCACTTGCATCCACCCCACAACCCATGTGTGATCCTTCCTTCACACACCCTGTAGAGCTGCGCTCACTCCAGTGTCAATTACTAGAATGGCCCCCAACTAGTCTTCCTGTCTACACTGGATGCCCACAACTCCCACCTCCTAATTCATCCTGTCAGATTAATCTTCCTAAAATTCTGCTCTCATTCTAATACTCTCTGACTCAAAATCCTTAAGGAATCTAGTCCTACCACCTCTAGGATAAAATCCTCAATCTGATATTTAAATCATATTCCAACCTATGTTTTTAAGTATTATCTCCCCACTACTTTACTAACTCTCCATTCTGGTCGACTTACCCACTCAGACAAACCTCACACTTTTTAGCTGATAACTTTGGCTATGCTCGTCATCTTCTTGAGCTACTCTCCCATTTTCTGCCATTTCTGCCTATTCATCAGGGCCTAATTCGAATCCATCCCCTCTGCAAAGTTCCCTGATGACATGTGTGAGGGCAGGTGTACACATAAACACACACTTATAATTGACCCCTGAACAACACAGGTTTGAACTGTTGAACTCTGCAGGGCCACTTACATGTGGATTTTTTCCAACAAAAACACTAAATGTAGCTGCCTCTCCTGCCTCCCTTCTACCTTTTCCACACCTCTGCCACTCTGAGACAGAACAACCAACACCTAGTCTCTTCCTCTTCAGCCTTCTCAATGTGAAGATGACAAGGAAGAGGACCCATAGGATGATCTACTTCCACTTATTGAACAGTAAATATATTTTTTTCTTTTTACAAGGGGTGGACACAGTCTCACTCTGTCCCCCTAGGTAGAGTGCCATGGTGTCATACTCACAGCGCAATCCTCCTGCCTCAGCCTCCAGACTAACTGGGACTATAGGTACCCACAACAATGGCCAGCTAATTTTTCTGTATTTAGTAGTCAGAGTCTCTCACCATTGCTCAGGCTGTTCTTGAACTCCTGAGCTCAAGGGATCCACCCACCTCAGCCTCCCAGAGTGCTGGGATCACAGGTATGACCTGCCACGGCTGGTCAGTAAATACATTTTCTCTTCCTTATGATTTTCTTAATAACATTTTCTTGTCTCTAGCTTACTTTATTGTAAGAATACAGTATATATCGGCTCGGCGCCTGTGGCTCAAGTGGCTAAGGCGCCAGCCATGTAGCGGGTTCAAATTCAGCCTGGGCCCGCCAAACAACAATGACAGCTGCAACCAAAAAATAGCCAAGTGTTGTGGCGGGCACCTGTGGTCCCAGCTACTTGGGAGGCTGAGGTAGGAGACTCGCTTGAGCCCAGGAGTTGGAGGTTGCTGTGAGCTGA